ACACACTCACACACACACAGACACACTCACACACACACACTTCATGTTGTCGTTGTAATCCTGAGGTGAGACGTCTGAACACACAGATGATGACATCGTCAAATTCAAACCCGACAGCGACGGAGCCGTCTGTGGGCACAGATGGTGTTTGGAAGTTAATCTTCTTCTGTTGACTAAACTCTCGTGTGTCTCTGTCATCAGTGATGTGCATGGACGCCAAGATCAACTTTGACTCCAACGCTGCGTACCGCCAGAAGAAGGTGTTCGACCTGCAGGACTGGACCCAGGAGGACCCCCGCGACCGGCAGGCCGCCAAGGCCGACCTCAACTACATCGGCCTGGACGGAACCATCGGCTGCCTGGGTCAGTGATCGCCCCCTGGTGTCTGGCTGCAGTATAGGTCAAATACTCTGTCTCCTCCATGTTAGCAGATGGGACGTACACAGGAATTCAATTTGGTTTTAATTAGTTATTTAAAGACACTACAAACCTGAGACGTCATGATTGACAGCTGAGACCGGCTCCTGATTGGTCGAGCATGTGTATAAGACACTTAAATATCGCAGCTGGCGGAGACGTGTCGTCCATCTTTATTCACAGTTCGATTGAAACCTTTGACCTTTCTTTCTTTCAGTAAACGGAGCAGGTCTGGCCATGGCCACCATGGACATAATCAAGCTCCATGGCGGCACGCCAGCCAACTTCCTGGATGTGGGAGGAGGAGCCACAGCTCATCAGGTGACCGAGGCGTTCAAGCTCATCACGTCTGACAGGAAGGTAAGAACGCGTCTGTCGCCTTCTGACGCTCTGATGTGAGCGTTATGCTAGCATAGCCTCGTGGTAGTTAACGCTGGTGCTGATTCATCAGGAGAACAATATATGAAAATGCTCATGTCAGTTTTTCATTGTGTGCGTTGTGGCCGGCGTCAGGTTCAGGCCATCCTGGTCAACATCTTCGGAGGCATCATGAGGTGTGATGTCATCGCTCAGGGCATCATCATGGCTGTGAGAGACCTGGACCTGAAGATCCCCATCGTCGTCCGGTTACAAGGTACGACAGTGTTAGAAACATTTCTACAGTTCACACGTGAGAAAAGCTTCCACTGAATCTTTTCCTCGGGAGGAGGGGGCGGCACGAAATGAGACGGAGCCTCGCAATCCTCTAAAAAACAACAAAGGATCAGCTCATGTTCAGAGCGTCTCCGTTTCAAACTGTTTCTTTCTCTGATAAATTACTTTTTCGTGTCAAATCTAAAATCTGTGTTTTTTAGGAACGAGAGTGGACGATGCTAAAGCTCTGATCGCTGCCAGTCCACTGAAAATCCTCGCCTGTGACGACCTGGACGAAGCTGCCAAAATGGTACACACACACACACACACACACACACACACAAGAAACAAGACACAAGACGTGATGTGTTCGTCAGCGATGTGACGACCTGCTGGTTGACTCTGTTTCCTGTGAACAGAGACGGGCTGTTCCCCTCATTTCCTGTCTGGATGCTAAGTTAAAATCTTCAGTTTAATGTCGAGCGAGCTGCCGGAGCTGAAACAAGAATGAAAACAGTTTCTGAAAAGGTCGATGTCGTCTGTACGAACTTTATCAACACTGTCGATTAACAGTCAAAGAGTAAAGATGAATTTATATAGAACAGAAGTCCTTCACAATAAAAGCATCAAAACAACAATATTCATTGAATAAAAACAGAAGTCTGTTAAACTGAATGTTTTCTGACTAACGGAGCGTTTCTTCCTCTTCTCCTTCTTCTTCTTCCTCTTCTTCTTCCTCTTCTTCTTCTTCTTCTTCCTCTTCTTCTCCTTCTTCTTCTTCTTCTCCTTCTTCTTCTCCTCCTCAGGTTGTAAAGCTTTCTGAAATCGTGTCGCTGGCTAAAGAAGCTCAGGTGGACATCACCTTCCAGCTGCCCATCTAAGAAAACCTGGACCCCCCCCCCCCCCCCCACTCCGCCCCCCCGACGACCCCAGGGAACGTTTATTTTTCTCTTCCTGACTTTGTGGCACGATGGCATCACTCCGCTCAGACACGTTTTACGGTTTCTTCCCCACATCTCGTTTAACTTATGTTGCACTCGAGTCGATACGCACAAACCCCCCCTCCCCATCTCTGCTTCACGCACCCCCCACTCGTCGACCTGTTCGATCAGCTGTTCGATGTTTGATTTCAGACTCAGTGTTGCTGCTGTTACATATGAAAATAAAGGTTGGACGTTAAATCCGTTAGTTTCCTCGTGTGCTCGAGTGACTTCTCTGTGTCGTGTTTGAGAATGTGAGAGAATAAAGAAAGCACTCGTTTTACTCCTCGCTTTATCACAACACTTTCATGACGTGCCACCATTTTGAGTCAGTGTCAGCTGTCAACATGGAGGAGGTGGATGTATGACCTATACTGCAGCCAGCCACCAGGGGGCAACCCAGAGGTTTTAGCACCGATTCATTCAGCAAACTTTCAAATATGAGAATCTCCAACAGTCGCAGAATAATTTGATCTCGATCGACCGATTGTTGCAGTTGTTTATTTGCCTCCTTGTGGTTGTTGTGTGTGTTGCGCCCCCTGGTGACTGTATTATGATATTAGTCAGTGTGACGCGTAGTTTGCAGTTTAGAGTTTCTGTCGCTAAAAAACCCACTGGATTCAGAGTCGACTCTGACGGCATCAAACCTTGCTCTTGCTGTTCGAGGAGCGTGTCACCGTGTCGGAGGTTCAGGCCTGAACAAACGCTGGTCACCCTCTGAACGCACCACGTACGTTTGATTCCTGCAGACTCGGCTCCTCCTCTCCTCGGCTGTGTCCGTGCTGTGGAGTCGTTAACTTGCTGGCTGTGATTTAACTGCACTTCTCCGAAGATCCACTGCAGCATGTGGCCGTGCACGAGAGCGCCACTTCCGTCCTGACGTGGGGACAGCGACACGTCCCGCGAAGGGAAGCGTGTGTTATCACGTTAGCTAACAGGACGTGTGAGGTTCCAGCTGATTCTCAGGACTCAGATGAGGAAGTCGTTACTGTCGCAGCTCCAGGTTTAAATGAGTCTGGATCTTAAGTCGTGTCTGAATATTTATTTTCTTCTGCCTCATTCTCACTTTGCCATCGTGCCACAGTCTGCTCCACATTTCATCTCAGCGGTTCATTCTCCTTTGTGTAACGTCAGAGTCCGGGCGGCGTCCTCAACAGTAAAATGCCCCCCCCCCCCCCCCCAGCGCTCCAAACACAAGCCGACATTGTGAGTTGTATGTGATTTATTAAATCTTGTAAATAACCAACCTGATGTTCTCACTGTAAAATATTTATGATCCTGAAAGATGACGACAAAGGACGAAAAAAATAAATGCAGAGAACACCTGAGTCTAGTTTCTGTTTCTGACGTCACGAGGGTCAAAGTGTCAGTGGTCATGTGACGTGTTTTCAGGTGTGTCTGTGTGGGCGGAGCCTCAGGTGAATGTATTATAGCTGCTGGCTTCTGACCAATGAGCTGAGGTTTAGTCTTCAGACGACTTCCTGTTGTGTTCAAGTCTTTAAGTGTTAACCACACACACACACACACACACACACACACAAACACACACAGCTTTGAAGTCCTTCTCTCCTGCGACACGATGAACGTCTTTGATCGTCCGGCCAGAAGAGAGAAAAGATTGTAGACGTCAGGTTTCGTTGCGTCGCCGCGGAGATGAAAAAGCGAGTGAGATGAATGAAGTGAACAAGAAGTAAAAAGGCCTCAGCTGGAGTCGCTGCCGCAGAAGAAGGTTCAGTCACCGTTAATGTTTGTCCATCATGGAGCCTCCTCCCCTCAGCAGCGCCCCCTGCAGACAGTGAGCTCCTGCAGCTGCTGCCTCGGACTGATAAGCTTTAGCTTGTGCTGCTGCCAGTTCATTTATTTAAAGGTGAGATAAGTTCAGCCTGACCGAGCCGAGGGGGGGGGCAGCTGGGTCCATTCAGGAACACTTTATCTGATGTGCTGTGATGAAAATAAGACATTTCTCAGAGGGGGGGAGGGGTGACCGCACACACATGGAAGTAAACAGTTAGTCGATGATGTCACACATTCAATATGAAATCTGACTCATGACTAAGTTTGAATTAAATCCCTGAGATTTCGAGATCTGTGTCAAAGTACGAGGACATTTTAAAATGTAGAGAAGTATAAAGATGTGTTCAGTGTGATGTTTGTGTTGAGCCTGAACATCTCGTCCACTGACGCAGACCTAATCTGTTTCTCGTCTCCTCACTGAGACCTGACTGAGACGTCCAAAACTAAAAACTGATGAAGGAAAGAAAATCATGATGAAATATAGACACATATATAAACACATATATAAATACATGTATACATATATATGTGTTTATATATTAAATGTATGAAAACTGGATCTGAGTCTGTTTGTGACGGCTCCGCCCACACTCACCTGCACATCATCAGGAGCCAATCAGCAGAGGTCTTCACCTCCGGTCGTTGAGTTCAGGATTTTAAAGACAGAATCTTCTGACATAAAATGTAAATGTCACTTCTCTCATCATCTGTTGACCTGAAGACGAAAGTTTCTTTTTCCTGAAACTTTAAAATGTGTTTATTTCAGGATCAGACTTTTTAAAATGTAAACGCAGTGAATCACACAACGGTCGTTGTCGTAGTTTGAGATTTCAAGAGTCGCTGATAAGACGGACGGTTGGGGGACATTCTTCCATCCAGATGTTTGTGGAATGAGAGGGTCGATGATGACGAGGGCACAAACATCAGTCCAGATAATCGAGCTGTCGTCACGACGATGCATGAGAACGTCCTGGTCTCCACTGGTTGAGTTTAATGATCTGCTCAGTGCTTCATTAATCCACATTAATATTCTAACATGTGTGTGTGTGTGTGTGTGTGTGTGTGTGTGTCCTCTGAGCTGCTCAGCAGGACGCAGACGCTCATTTGGGACCATTTTAAATTCTGGGGGAGATTTAAAATTAGCTCAGCGTCTCTTCATTCACAAGTTATTACACCCTGAAGCAGCTCGGCTCCTGGAGTCGACAGGAAAGACTGAGAGTCTGTGGAGACGACGGAGGAGCGATGGTGACGCTAAGATCTGTCACAGAGGAGGAAACGTGAGAACAGCTGACTCAGCAGAGTGAAGTGTTTTCAGATCTGATCATGAAACCAACGTTTCATCAGTTTCACATAGAGGACGAAGACGTCCACTTGGATAGACGAGGAGGTTCCAGATGTTTTGGTGATGAGGGCCGACGCCGTGTGGACGAGCTGTAAACAACAACACTGATCTTTACACAGTTTAGACGCCATGTCCCGCCTCCT